ACAGTTTGGATTAAATTAAAGTATAGTCAAAATTTTTAGCATGTTTTTGTGTTTTGCTTTGGTACCGAAGTTGGTACAGAGAACCGTGGATTTTCACTGGTATTGGTACCAAATACTGAAATGTTGGTACCGTGACAACACTATTACAAACACAAAATACCAACAGGGCAACACACAGGACATTTAAAGAACGCAGTAAACGTTAGCAGAATAAAAGAAAACACAATACACCAGTGTATTCTGGGAATTCCCCTTTAAAATAAATTAATAATCCAACATGGATTGCCTTATTTAAAGGATAGTTCACACAAAAATGAAAACTGTCATCATTTACTCGCCCTCAGGTCTTTCCAAACCTGAATTACTTTCTTCTCTGCAACATAAATGGAGATATTTTGAAGCATGTTGGTAACCAAACAGTTTTGGTTCCCATTGACTTCCATTATATGGACAAAAAATACAATGGAAGTCAATGGGAGTCAAAACTGTTTAGTGATCAACATTCTTCAAAATCTCTTCTTTTGTGTTATGCAGAAAAAGTCATACAGGTTGGAAAGACCAGAGGGTCACAGTTAACCAATTAACAGGTTTTTATTATAGCATTTCCCCCCTTTTTTTACAGTGCACAACACTTCATTCATTTAGTGGCAAATGAAAACGTACATATTTACACACAGCACACAATACACAAGTACTATAAATAGTGCTAATTACAGTGGCATCATGCAGAATGCTGTATAATATACGTAACATACATATGCATAGAACAGGATAACTTTTAGTTATCTGTAAGATCAATTAAGATGATAAAGGAAATTGAGACATTTGAGATGTGAAAGAGAGAATGAAGAAAAGAGAGGGTGTTTGGTGTTTAAGTACAGATCAGAGCACACACTGCTGTCCCAGTGCCCTGGCAGAATACCCAATGAGTCAGTGTGCAGATTCATGCCAGTATACCAGCCTGAGCTCAACGAAGAGCTTCATAATAACTGTTCCAAGATCAGCATGAAAAATACAAGTCTGTGCCTGGAAAGACAAGATGGCTAGTTCTAGACCAGTAGTCTTTTCCATTAGTAACAGCAAATCATTACTAATCAGAAATGACAGTGCATAAATCAAAATAAAACAGTTTCTCATGGTGTTACCGCTGAATGCTGAGCACATACACAGTTCTCTTGCGCAGACAGTCTAGATAAATGTGTTTACAACCTCAAATAAGCTTCTGTGGATTATGCTATGAAGTTTAGAATTATTCTTTCTTTCCGTCTCTCATCTCTCTCTCTCTCTCTCTCTCTCTCTCTCTCTCTCTCTCTTTCTCTCTGACTGAACTTGAAGTGATCGCTCTTAAAAATTCCAAGATAATACAAGAGAGAAGCCAGTCTCCATGGCAATGGTCGCTAGTCTGTGAATCACCCTTAGTTACTATTTGTATCAAAATACAGGATGAGAGCCCAAATTGTGTCCATGGAAACTTAGTGGATGTGTTCCACTTGGGGAACAGGATTCTGGTTCTACAGGTTGAGACGGGACTCATACTTTGACTAAAAATATTCAGCCATGTCTGACCCACTTTCTGACTTTGGTTTTGCTTCAGATCCTACTACAGTACTACAGTAGATCTGTGCCATGAACCACTTAGCTGAGTACAGATGTTTCTCATACTTAGCATTAATCACTAAGTATAAGCAGAATTATATGAATACTATATTAAATGCATTTCATTCATTATGTAACTGTACTGATTAAGTGACGGAGCCAACTGACCAGCAGCCAAAGTGTGAAATCCCATCAAACTAACCATCTTTAATGGACATATACTTCCTCTTCCTTAATTCAGCTTTCTACAATGTGTATCAGGCATCGTCAATAGATATATTATTTATTTATTAAATGTGTTATTATTATTATTATTATTAATACATTCAAAATAACAATATATATAATTTATTTTAGTATTTTATTATTACTGAATTGTAAATAATATATTACACTGAACAAAATTATAAACGCAACACTTTTGTTTTTGCCCCCATTTTTCATGAGCTGAACTCAAATATCTAAGACTTTTTCTATGTACACAAAAGGCCTATTTCTCTCAAATATTGTTCACAAATCATTTTAGATAAGATCTTTAAACGATTTATGTACAGTTTGCAATGTATCTGAGTGTTGGTTGTATGTGTGTAAGTCTGAACTGGTCAAGACTTTTCTGACCTTAGTGACGTCATGCATTGTCTGACTGTAGAAATTCACATTCACATGCACACAGGAAATGGGGAGGATTTTACAACATCCTCTCACCTATCTGCATGTGTGTTTACACGACGGGAGTGAGTCACAGAGAATAATAAGGGAAGATTAATGCACATACACACATACCCACCCATAAACTCAAGCACTTATGCACACTCACATATACATACACACAGACCTGAATTAATAATTATAATGATGACACACAAATGGATGAAATATCTCCGTCATCTCTTGTGTGTCTGGGGAGGAGTGAGGAGAAGCAACGAGTGAAACAGAAATAGAGAGACTGGTAGTGGTTCTGTCATGTGCTGTGTAGATTTCAGGTTATGACTGCTATGTCTGAGGAACAGTTGAATAACAGCTATCCTTGCCCTATTTATCTATAATAAAACTAAAATATGGTCACCCTAGTTTACCTTACAATATCACTGTACAGCACCAATAGTGGATTGTTATTTTTGTTGCATAAGGAGGTTTTATTATGTTAGGAACGATGATGAGTTTGTTTCTTCATCGGATCAGATGAGAAATTTAGCATTACACCACTTGCTCACTAATCGATCCTCTGCAGTGAACGGGTGCCGTCAGAATGAGAGTTCAGACAGCTGATAAAAACATCACAATAATTCACAAGTAATCCACACAACTCCAGTCCATCCATTAACATCTTGTGAAGTGAAAAGCTGCATATCTGTAATTTAAAAAAATCCATCAAGACATTTTTTTACTTCATTAAGACATTTTTAACTGTTTCTGGCTAAAATGAAAGTCCTTTATCCATAATATGGCTTTCCCCAGTGATTCATCTCATCTGAATCAGCAGAGAAAACTGCACATATCAAGCCCTGTTTATAAGTGGAAACTACGGTGGCCGAGAAGTGCAAAGCAAATCACAATTCTGAAAACAAAATAACAAATTACAAACGCAAATGCAAATGCAAGTCTAAAAAACAAAATAATAATTCAGAAAGGACAACAACAATTCAGAAAACATTATAATAAGTCAGAAAACACAATGACAAATTCGAAAACAAAATAACAACAGAAAACACAATGACAAATCCGAAAACAAATTAACAAGTCAAAAAACACAACTACAAATCAGACAAACCGGAAGAGGTAGGTATAATTTGAGACGGCGCCATTGGTTTGGGATTACTCACCGTTGACTGGACAAGACATCTGTCAATCAACGTATACAGGGAAGAACCAGCCGAAGAACAGCAGAGTCGTGGTAGAAAGTTCGGAGATGGTATTAAAGTAGCTCAGTTTAAATGTATTGTATGAATTGCCCTTATTCTGGAATAAAAAATACGGGGTGTCTATTTACATTTAGTTAAAAGTGGCTGTAAATCATCAGTGCCAGTGGTGCAGATGAATAAGTGTGTGCCCTTGGCTTTTTGACACGATCGACCAGGGTTCGATCCCGCCTTTTGCCGAACTTTTTTTTCCTCCCTTTTCAAATCTCGTATTAGCAACAGTTCTAAACAAATACTGCAATGTTTTTATCAGCTAGTTGGACTAAACTATCAGCTAGTTGGAAAAAAGGCATCATTCTGATGGCACCCAGGATCCAATTTAAGTGATGTAATGCTAAATTACTCCAAATCAGTTATTCATTGTGATAGCCGCAGTTAAATGGGTTGCAGGTTATGTGCTGTGTCTAACTACACTCTTTAGCTTATTGCTTAAACATGAACTTCTATTGTTCTATTATCTAGAGTTCAGTAGTGTAATTCTGCTGTCAGCATTGTAGAGTTTTGTATTGTAGAGTTACTCAATTGGGCTTCACAGCTTACTGAGGGGGTGGAATGGAGAGAAAGTAGTCGGCAATGTCCAGAGAAAACGACAAACCTGGAGGGGAAACCAGGAAATTCTACTAATACTCCTTTTCCACGCTTCCTCTTCCACCCAGACATACTCTCAATATTTCCACAAGGATGTTTCCCTGCTTTCCCTCCCCAGCTTTATCCCTCAAGACATTCAACTCACAGTTTTTCCCTTTCCTCTGTTTCTCAATCATGATCATCATCATCTTCTGTCTCATTCTGCTTTAGCAGTTGGTGTGTAAAAGCCCTCATTCCTTCCATTACCGGCTGTACCGATGAAAAACAGCACTTTAAGAATCTATCCAAACCAGAACCCATTCTTGAACTCATCAAAAACCAAAGCCATCCTTGGGGGGAGCAATTTGATGTAACTTGATGCAGACGGTCTCAGGGGTTCAATGACCCTTTTTGTTTGTATAATATGAAACATGTAACATATATAGTCTGCTTTATTCTGAACCTTTATTGATGTGATCTTGTTTTTCTTAACTGTTCATTGCTTTAGGCACAAATATTAGAATCGAGTTTAAAATGCCCACTAGTGAGGTAGAGCTCGAGGCTAATCTCAAGACAGTATTCTAGACTTGGTCTTGTCATGGCCTCAACCATGGGTATTGCAGGGGTTTATTTCTGAATTACAATTTGATCTAAACTACATACATGATTACAGTGAGTTTCCACTTGATACATGTGCAGAGCTTGAAACCTGTAGCAACCGCTTCAGATTTTCAAGACAGAACACATGTATTCAGTCATGCAAAATTATTATATTGAGTGTAAGTGTGAGCGCTATTGCTACAAAGGGAGTGTTAAAATAGACATTTAAATGTCACATGGTGCCTTCCGTGTGATCAAATATTTATGCGAATCATAAATAGATATTATAGGCATAGATCAATCTAAATCAATATTCTGATAAATGCTGTAATAAAATTAATTCATTTTATTTATATTATCCTAAAGGGGCACAAACAATTGGCAGATGAAGTATTGATTTATTTGCTACATTGATCTAAAATACATAACATCAACATATTAACTCTCACCCCACTCAGAACTGTCATTTTAAACAATATTTATAAATGATCAAATGTCTAATAAGAACGGCAATACTCTTGGGGCTTCAAAAGTGTGCATTTCTAGTAAAAACTGACGAAATGAAAGTTCCAGAGAACAGATTTAATTGATCAATAAAACAACATAAAATTAACCATATTGGAATTATTTTTGACTTAATCACACAGACACAAACTAGTTGTAAACAACCAACTGTCTACATGATCACTGTATGTTTGTGTAAAAATATAAGGGAAGACTTTGAAATTACACAGAAGACCTAAGGTTTGAATACAACAGCTTGAAATCAGTTGATTCAGAATTGGATTCATCTATCGAATAGACTGAAATGGGTCAGAATGTGACATTGCACAAACAATGAACTTTCATGAGAACAGTGCGTCTTCTCTGCTGTCCTGTATTAACCCTGCACAAAAACACAGATTGACACAACCTCCAGCCAGACCAAAAGATGACCTCGACCATTCCATGAGATGAAGAAGAAATCAGGCATCTTCTCTCTGATTGGCTGAGATATTCAGGAGAAAAGTAAACACACACACAGAGAGATGGTGTCACTCCATTATGATATTCTGGTTCAGGAATGAATAAGACAGATTGTCGTGTGTGTTTCCATCTCTCCCTGTAGTTTTCAGTCTTGCTTAATCCTGTTTTCCCTCTCTCCATTGGGGTGATCCCTCATTCCATGCAACATAAACGAAGAGTGCCAAAACCACGTGGACGGCAAGCACAGCAACAATGGCAGCATAGAAGTAGCTGTCATTGCTGGAGAAACCCAGAGAGGCTGTGAAGAAAAGAAGAGAATTAAGCAGAAATTACAGAAGCAAATCAGCAACTAAGGACTTAAAGGGTTAGTTCACCCAAAAATGAAAAAAGCTTGTGTTGTACTCACCCTCGAGGCATCCTAGGTGTATATGACTTTCTTCTTTCAGATGAATCCAATCAGAATTATATAAAAGATTGTCCTGGCTATTCCAAGCTCTATCATTGCAGTCAGCGGGTGTTGCAGTTGAACAGTCCACAAGTCGTCAAATAAAGCTCACACATTCATAATAAAACGTGCCGCAGACGGCTCTGGGGGATGAATAAAGGCCCCCTGTAGCGAATCCATGTGTTTTTGTAAGAAAAATATCCATATTTCAAATGTAATAAACACTTTCACTCTCACTTCCGCTGACTGTCATACACTGAAGCCGTTCCGGCAGATGACGCAGCACGTATGCGTTACGTGATTAGTGACGAATGCGGAGAGAGAACAAAACAAAAAGCCGGTCACGAATTAGAAGTACAAACAGAGGATTTGCAAAGAAAAATGTCAGAGGATTTCGATATATAAACCAAGAAGAGACTGGTTTTCCTTTGCTAAAGTAAGGAAACTTTGCTTCCTTTGCCCCTATAAACAAACTCGCAAGACTAGCATATCTCAGAGGCGCGCTCGCTGCGCTTATGTCATACGCCTTCCGCCGGCATGTTTTATTATGATTGCACGCGCTTTTTTTGACGACTTGTGGACTGTTCAACTGCAACACCCGCTGACTGCAATGATAGAGCTTAGAATAGCCAGGACAATTTTTAATATAACTCTGACTGGATTAGTCTGAAAGAAGAAGTCATATACACCTAGGATGACTTGAGGGTGAGTAAAACACATGCGCGAGCTTTATTTGACGACTTGTGGACTGTTCAACTGCAACACCGGCTGACTGCAATGATAGAACTTGGAATAGCCAGGACAATTTTTAATATAACTTCGACTAGATTCGTCTGAAAGAAGAAATTCATAAAAACCTAGGATGCTTCGAGGGTAAGTAATACACAAGCTAATTTTCATTTTTGGGTGAACTAACCCTTTAATACACTGAGCTGTAGTATAACGCGTATATTAAATATTATTATTGTTATAATTATTTTAATAAATAAATATGTTGGAGTATCAGCCTTTGAAAGCAAAATACCTTCAAAGAGAAAAGACTTTGATGCAAAATATAGTCCGATGGGTAGAGTTATCATCAGAACAGTGAAAAACAAGAGTGTCTTGAGCACAGAGACAAGAGAACCGTCATTCCTGAATGAATGCAAGGAAGAAAGATACAAGAAGAGATTAGACAAATTAAACTAGTCAAAATGTGAATTTTAAATAATCTGAAATGCAACAATAATATTCACTCATCGACTATTTCAATTTAATCTCTTAGTTTCGTGCCCTTAGTCATTGTGATTTTGGTGTGAGGTCATGTGCAGTCTGAGAAGAGGAATAGGCACATCATAGACAATCTTACCCTCTGAAATCAGGCGCGGTTGCAGGCATGGAGCCCACAGCTGTCTTGTCGTAGTTTTGCATTTTGTATTTTTATTTATGGACAAAAAAAAGAAGAAAGATATAGGAAGTCAATAGCTCGTAGTTCCGTGCTGCGACATCTTGAATTATTTGCTCTTCCGGGTCTTTGTCACATGATCTGGATGATCGCGACAGCAGTTGTGTGCGTGTGTTTGCGCATGTCCGCCCGGGGGCGCCGCAGCACTGTAACGAGTTTCCAGTAGTAACCTACACGAGCAGTACAGCGCCTGAACTTCTGAAAAATCTCTAAATCAGTAGTGTTCAGTACATGTTTTGGGGATCTACCGCACTGCACATTTTGTATGTATTCCTTTAACATACCCAATTAAAATCAGAAGTCTGTTATGAAGGAGAGCTCCATAAATGAACTAAGTATGTCGGATAAAAGAGGATATACTAGAAAGTAACCTTTGAAAAGTCTTTGTAATACTAAAATGGTTGCAAGGTTTCAGGAAAAAAGACGACTTTTCAGTTTATTATTATTTATTTAATTAAATAAACCAGGGCTGGTACTGGCCTTTGAGCTTTTATGATAAAATTATTCTAATTTAAGAGATTTTTAAACATAAAACCAGCATTTTTGGACTTTTAATGCAAAACCTTGTAGTTACTGAGATTTAGCCATTGTGACAGCTTCCCTATATGACAACTAGCCTCTATTCATAACTTATATGAATATATATATATATAACTTAATTATATGGAGGAACCGAGGGCGAGTTGGTAAACATTTCACTGCATTACATATGATGATATTGACACATAAAATGATTATAATTTAAGACAGTATTTTTGAACTCAAAACCAAAAAATATTTCTGGATAAAATCAACATAATTGGACGTTTGCATCAATATTGAGTTATACCAAGTTACTGAGCTAGCTCCTGTGACAACTAGCCCCAGTTTCACTTATATACAGCAAATTATTTATAATTAATTATATAATAAAAATAAAAAGTCATGACTTGTAAGTGAATATATATATATCAGTAAAAATAAACAAATAAAATCTGCTCAAAATGAAGACCTGGGATTCAAAAGACTGTATGCTTTTACTCCACTGAGCTGGACAATACATTCATGTCTATGGCTCTTTATGTCTGTGGTGGATATGGCACTGCTAGAGCATCGGGGGTTAATACTTCAAGCCGTTCTGTGAAAATTACTGCTCCAGAGAAGCTTGCATCAGGTCATCATCATGCCCCTTTCAGCCAGCTCTTTTAGTGTCTGGAGAAGCAATAAATCTTCCTCAAGGACAGGAGCAAGTGTGTGTAGTGTGTGCAGAAAAAAACGAAGATAAGTAATCGGACTAGAGAAAAGTATGACTGTCAATTATGGAGGCAAGATATAGCAAGAGAAGAAAGACAGGACTACAAAGACAAAGATGTAGTTTAGTTTTTAGCACCGTTGCATGCAGACCACTCAGATTGGAAATGCCAACCCTGATTGTATGGAAATACACAACATGAAGTAGATATATCAAAAACATTTCACTAAAATCATTTTTGTTGCAAAAGTGAAAACATACAAGTTGATCTACAATAATTATGGATGTATCAGTTGTATGTTACTCTAATAAGCATCAGTCTTATATTCCTTTATTATTACTACAAAAAAAAAAAATCTGTTACTTAGAAACACACTGCCTCATATACAAAACATCCATATACAAAGAATTTACAAAGGACACACAGAGCATCAAAATGTCTTTTTCAGTGTTGGTTGCCATGGTATCAACCAATCTTTATAAGAACACAAGAGCATATACTCAACCATCTGCAGTAGTTTTTTTTAGCTCAAGTCTGCTCAAACAAAATGCATAAAAAGGCTGACGACCACGTAATTTGTTAAGGAATGTTCATTCAACAAGAAATACTGGCCTTATAGTCGATCGGATACAATGGGGCTAAAAGCACATGTTATAGTGAATATGTGCTTTTTGATGGAGCAACACATTTTGTGGGAAAATAAATCATAGAAGTCGTTTGTTGGCCTGCTATGAACATGACTAGTTAAGACCTTTACACAGACTTTAACAAGTAGCAAGATAAGTGTTAAAAAGGCCAAGTCAATTGACTACTTCTGGCTTAACAGCAGCTCTGTCTTCATGTTTCATATTCCTGATAAGACAACTGCTCTTTCTTTTTCTCAATTAATTCCACCATGGCATGAATGCAAAATTTTGAATAATATCAGTCCACAAAGTCAGATTTGTGATGCAGTCTGGAATCATAAATCACAAATGTTTGCTCATTTGTGAAGAGGAGAACCCCCCCACCTCCAAGTTTGGTTTCTCCTGAGATTTTTTTTCTCCACTGCTGATGGTGTTTTGGTTTCTTGTCACTGTTGCCTTTGGCTTGCACAGCTGGAGTTTTAAAGACAATTAATATTCATTAATATTATTGATTTAATGCACTGACACTGTTGGATGAGAACAAAAACATAACTGAGCCGGATACGAACACTAAGTTTGCAATATTGACACTGTTATTGAACTGAATTGAACCGAATAATAAAACTGTTGCCTTCTGTAAAGCTGCTTATAGCTTGTTTCATAATTGATGAAATTTGCAACATCGACAGTTATTGAACTGAACTGAAACAACATTGAACTAAACTGAGCTCAATAATGACATGTCTGTAGAGCTGCTTTACAGCTGAAATTGAATTTGTTTGATAAGTGATCAATTTTATAGCTTTAACACTGTTATTTTTTCTGTTCATTAATGTGAAGCTGCTTTGAAATAATCTGTATAATATAAAGCTCTATATAAATAAATGTTACTTAACTTCACTTGAAGTTTTGCTTCAAAGTCATATAAATGGATGAAGTGGTGAGGGGGGGGCTTTAAACCCACACTAAAGGCTCAGAGTAAAAAGCTCACCAGCATGGGGCAAAAGGTCCTCAGTATTTATACAAATATTTAGGCCATCTGATTTTTAAGTCTGACATCCCAAAGCATGACGAGATCCCAGAGCAAACAACAAATGGTGCAAATATGAGCATAACCTTTAGCTCCTTACTGAAATCTTAGTCAGAGAGACAGTGATTTTTGATTACAAAGTGTGAGCCTGGAGAGTGTAGTTTACTGTTGTATTCTCCACTGAAATGAGTAGAGGCTTAGACCCGTAAACAGTATTCCAACATCTGAATAGTAATAATGTTTTGCGTAATAAAAGTTAATACTTGTTCAAAATGATATGATTTGTATAATGAACAAAATAATTTAAATGTACTTTTATTCAATAAATACACTGTCATTAAAATGTTCATTCTTAAAATACAGAAAAAAAATTAAAAAATAAAGATTCTGAAAGCTTCTAACGCAGCTTGATGAAGATCTCAATTTATTGAGGCTTTACAGTAACAATAAATGATATAGGATTAATATATTTTTTAAATATGATAGTTTCATAATAAATATGGTGATTATCTCTAAGGTGGACACCCAACGTAATACATGATACTGACCTTTTGACTCTCCATCTCCATCTCATGTCAACAAATGAAAAAGTCAGCCTGCTATTTATTTTCATTCCAATTATTGTGCCTTTAGCTTCAACAGTAGGGGCACTTTTTCCCTAAATACTATACTTTTACATATTACTCAGCTACTGAAAAACTGTTGTTTTAATTACTTTGAACAAAACTGAAAATCATTAACAAGACCTTTGTCTCAGAATATACTGTATGTGGTAATTTTATTGATTCTCATTTGCTACATAACTGTATAAAATGAAATATATATATATATATTATATATATTAAAATATTAGGTCAGTGTAGTGCAGAATTGACTTTTTATTTGCTGAGTCAAGGATCAGTCAAATTTCCTGGTGCATAGTGAGCCATGGATGTTTAGAAAAGTGCTGCGGTGATCTTGACAAATAAAAACAAATGCGCATTTTACCCCGGTGTGCCTTTAACTCCATTGTAGTCTAATATTGTGGTTGTTAGTTAAATGGGGTAAATATCTACTATAAAAGAGTTTGTGTTACTCCACCCTTATACATATTGGTCTCTTTCACATTGTTATTGGTTCCCACCGGCGAATGTTTACTCTTTATGGCTTCAGTGTTGTACCTGGAACTTTCAGTGAACAGCGCTCTTGGGGTGCAGAGAGCACGGAGAATCTGTTTGTACTCTTGCCTGAAGTTCTGGTTGAGCAACCCGTAGACAACAGCATTCAGACAGCTGTTGAAATACGCCATGAAGTAGCTGGTAACAAACAGCCACTCTGGGACATTCGGTGCCACTCTTGCTGGGTTAACCGCCACGGCGAGCCCAATGAAGTTCAGGGGCGCCCAGCACACGGCGAACAGCACAAACATCACAAACATCGTCAAGAAATTCCTCAGGTCGGCCGCTCTGACTTTCGGATTGGGGCGGACACGACCTTTGACCCTAATCACCAACGTCCATATGCGCAGGTAGCAGAAAGAAACCACGCCCAGAGGAACGAGGAAGTGGATCAGAACAACGCAGACGGTGTAAGAAGAGCTTGCTGTCTGGGTGAATGTGCAGGAGAAGACACGTGGGTCGTATTTTAAGGAACCAACAAGGAAGTTGGGCACGATGGCCAGAGCGGTTAGCATCCAGGTGAGGAGCAGGTACAGACAGGTGTTTCGACGAGAATACAGACGGTCGTAGCGGAGACTGTGGCAGATGTAGCAGTAGCGGTTGATGGCGATTGCCGTGATGTTGAAAACCGAGCCGATCACACTCAGTCCCATAACAAACCCACTCAGCTGGCAGTGCAGGGAGCCCATTGTCCAGCCATTATGGAAGATAGCGACCAAAGCCAAGGGGTAGGGGTACAGCGCCACCACCAGGTCAGCGACAGAAAGACTGACCACAAAGATGTTACCTATTAAAGATAGAGAAATCGAGAGTGACATAATTGTATAATATATACATACTTAAATGTTTACATAAATAATTGAAGTTTATAATTAAATTATACCATATTGCAATTGCACATGATAACTGCAAACAGCAAAGTAAAATAAAATTCACCCAAATTAAAACTCTGTCATCATTTACTCAAGCTTGGATGAAAAAAGAAGACCATTTGAAAGTCTTAGGAGGTTCAAACAACATTGGACCCCACTGACTTACATGGACAAAAATATTTT